CAAATGTCACACCTGAACGCTCACATCCTTTTAATTATGTTTGAAATTATGAACATTGCTCAACATCATGAAAATTAAACCTTATTTTCAATAAGCAATCCTGAAAAATATTTGGGGGTGCTTAACTTTTTTCCAGGTGTATACTAGAATGAGATAGGATAAGGAAGCATGACCACCACATGTGTGAGGATTTATAATGATTGGTCCAGCTCCAATCCAAACCACTCATTTGGAAATGATATCTAAGTGATGGTGGGATGAGGGATCCCAATCGAAGGGGGGGAAATGCAATGTAATGTATCTACTCGAAAGCAGCATCATCCTCTGGATAGGACCACACAGAAGATGGAGCACAACATCAACCTCTAGGTCCCACTGCACAGAAGTGGATTGCCACAGTAAAAGATATTTAACTTCATCTTCTGGATTAAATTGCACAGAAGCTGGGTGCAGCATCAGCCTCCGGGATCCACAGCACAGAGGTGGAGCATATTTGTGAAATATGTGCAATATCATCTCCCAGATAAGACCACACAGAAGCTGGACTACAACACCATCCATTGGGTCCCACTGTGCTCAAGTGGATCACCTCTATAAAATATATGCAATCTCACCCTCTGGATAGAACCACACAGTAATTGGGTGCAACATCAACCTTTGGGACCCACCACACAGAGGTGGAGTGCATGATATCAGGATTAAATGCCATACACACTGGCAGAACACCACCTCCCTACTCTCTACTGAAGTGAAAAGATCACATTCAGAAGAACTCCTCCATGGTCCACCACCCCAGCAGCTCGCAACTGGAAAGTGGCCAGGACTCTCATACTCCACTAGCAGAACAAGGGGGACAAAATGTGTTGGAGACTCTGGAGGAATGCTGACACCAGAGACAGTGCAATGGGTGACCATAAAATCCTTATTTTGAAAAGCAGACTGCCATTGATTTATTCAATTGAAGGGATGGACAGCTATCCTTTTCTGCTTTACCCATGTAAGTCCATGGGTTGGTACAGTCCAGAATGAGTATATTAATGAAGTGGAAACCTACTAGCAATCTTGTGGAACACCTCATCTGAACAGTGTGCATTATTGGCCATGGGTATACATCGAGATTTTGGGTATCAGCTACTGCCCGAAGACAACTTTGGTGGGACATCCCATAGAACCCTCACCAAGCTACCCTGTTCAATATGGTTCATCACTAGGGCCCAACCCCTTTAGAGTTGGAGTGACAGGAGTAGCCAGGAGTAACCCATGCAACATTAACCCTGAATAGGAATGCACAGAGGTAGGAGTGCAGGTATCCAGTTCAGGACCTCACAACATCAACCCTTGACAGAGTTAGTAGACAGGAGACAATGTACCCCGGTATGGCTTTTTGATGGTTATACAGTGCAGAATTTGAGAGATAGGTAGTATACCTGGACAGGCAATGCTCACCACTGAGTAGGATTCAAGGAAAAATAAGATATAGAAAAGATAACCTACCAAGTCACAGCTGCACCAATGTTTGGAGAATGGCGACAGGCACAAGGAAATACTCCAATGAGGAAGAAACGACATCCTGAAGCAAGTAGTGGGAGATCAATGTATGAGGTGTAGTCCACATGCCTGACTGAAGAATTTCCTCCAATGGATGATGGAGGTGAGATGCCAAGGAAAAGGCTGGTGTCTGATCTGATGCTACAACACCTGGAACAGATTGTGGAATGAATGAAACAGAGAGGAATACACCAGTCTAATAAGTTGATGAATCCAAGCTCTAAGGGTAGAAGGAGAAACGTCACATACATAGAAAAGTTGCCAGGGAATGAAAAGGTGGGAACAGGAACCATGGAAGGAGGCCATGTGAGAAATGTAGCAATGAAAAGTATGAAGGGAACATAGAAGCCTGTCTGGATAAGACCAGAAATAAAGGTAGGAAACGGAGGGAAGAGCAACTGGCAAGAAGGAAGAATGTCCCTTAAGAGTTGTC